GAGGGGGAGTCTGGTGGGTTTAGGGGGCTGAGAGCTTGAAATTTGGGACCTGGGGCCGCAGAGCCAGGAGACTGGATATTTGGAGTTGAGAGCTGACTGGGGCTGGGGGTCAGGCCTGAGTGTGGATATTTGGGGGTGGGTCAGCAGGGGGGGCTGGATTTGGGGCGCTGGGAGGTCTGTTATTTGGAGCTGGAGTTCAGGGCCGAGGGTCTGCAAATTTGGATCTGGATATTTGGTGTGAGGGATCAAGGGGGGTGTGGGAAAGACATTTGGGCCAATTTTGGGTCTGCACAGCTCGGGCTGGGAGCGCAGGCCCGGCCCTGACTTCCGAGGGGCCTGTCCTTCTGGGTCAGGTGGCTTACCCTGCACACCTCTGTCCCAGCCGTTCCACAGCCGTCATGCTGGGCCACCTCTGCCATCTCCCCCCTGCCTGCATCTCTCCTCACCGTGCTGTCTCTCCCGGCATCTCTGTGCCCACCTCTACCCTCCCGGAATCTCTCTGACTCTTGATCTCTGTCTCTCGCAGCGTCTCTCTCTTTGGGTCTAACTCTTGGACTGTCTCTCAGAATCTCCTTGCCTATCTCCCTCTGTATCTTTCTCAGCATCTCTCAGCCTCGCTGTCTCTCCTCTGTCTCTCACTATCTCTCTGTCTCTGTCTCTCCCAGTGTCTCTGTCTCTGTCTCCCCCTCGCTGGTTTCCGCTCAGATTAAGCCGGGGACCTAATTCCAGGCCCAGGATCGAATTTTCTGGCAACAAAGGGAAATAGCGAATCGATCGGTCGCTCCGGAGATTAAGAGACAAGCGGCGCGCGGATCTATCACGGCTAAACGGCCCCCCCTGCCCGTTCCCCCGCCCTGCCGGCCGCTGAGGCCCAGACGCGCTCCGCATCGCCAAGCAGCCTCAGGAGCACCGCTGCCGGCGGGCCAGGCCTTACCGAGCCCAGAACTGTGTGCCCTGCCGAGGGTCAGAGCCAGGGGAGGGATGGGAGAGCCAGAGCTGACCCCTGGGGAGGGGAGGAGAGGGGAGTGAGCGAAACCCAGGCAGCAAACCACCTGGAAGACTCATGCTGCACACACCTGTGGCCTCAGGTAACACCTTTTATCCTCACCTGTCTATAAACATACTTGTCACGTCAGTGCCCCTCTTCAGTTCCCCACATCTGGACCTCCAGGTAACATTTCCCTTCTTATACCTGCCCCTTGCAGGTAACACCTGTACTGTGCACGTTTCCTTCTGCCTCAGTAGGTATCACCGAATTTCCTCTCACCCGCCCCGTCCAGGTTACACTGGTGCCCTTGAAACCTGCCCCAAAGACACCCATGATCTCTCATACCTGAGCATCTCCGCCTACCTGCCCTCCAGGTAATACCTGTTCTCCAGATTCCGCCCTTTCCACTCGAACCCCTGCATCTGTGTCATTTCATATCACTGTCCCCTTCCTACCTGCACCTGCATCTGCACCATCCCAAACTGTGGACACGCTTGTTTCTTACACATTCAGATTTCTTCACATCTGCCTCCCCTCAAGCAGTACCTGTTTACCATATATTCTCACACACACACACACACACACACACACACACACACACACCCCCTACACACCTACCTTCCTTTGCACAGGTGCATCCTCCTGGTCTGTTCTGGGGTGACACCTGTCCTCTCCCACCCTCCCGGCTCTCACCCGTACTCCTCCCTTGCAGTGCTAATCTTGTCCGGCCTCTCACCTGTCCTTCCAGAAACACTTTTCCCACATGCGTCTCCAAAGAACACACCTGCTTCGCGCCCCGTCTGCCTGTTCCTAGCTTCCTCACACTCCATCTCCCATCGGGTTACATCAATATACCTACTTCCGAGGGATTGGCCCACACCTGTCTTTTCCCACTTGTCATTTCAGGTGACTCATCCCAGACAACACATGCACTGATCCCACCTGTCTCGTAGCCCAACGCCAGCTGATTGCTCACACGTGCCTTGGTCCTTGGGTATCACGTATACCCTCCTTCCTCATGTCTCTCTCCTGCCATGATGTCTCTTACAAGCCCTTGGCCTCTGAAAGTCCCACCTGTCCCACCTGCACACTTGCTGCTCACCTTGTGTCTGACTCCTCACTGTCTCTCTGTCTCTGCCTCTCTGTCTCGCTGCCTTTCCCAACGCACAGCACCACTTCACACAAACACAGTTTGGGGCAGGGAAGCTGTCCTTGGCAGAGGCACCTGCCCCACCTGCATACCTATTTCCCCACACCTGCCCCTCAGGTACCATCTGTCCACTTTTCTTTTCCCGCGTTCCTAGGATCTCAGGTCCTCTTTCTTGCCTCACAAGATCGCACCAGTATCTCCACACACCTGTCCGTTCCTCCCCTGTCTGCCTCTGGTACCACACTCGTTCGTTTCTTCAGCAAATAGGTACTGAAAACTCCGCATGGCCCTCCTTAACCTCTCTCTGCTTTAGTGGGTCTCTGCCCC